TGAAACAGAGGATGTTAGTGTCATCCAAATGGTCTTAACAAGACCCCTCAATTCTGTGAACAATTGCAGTCTTACTAAATATTTTTGGAAGCAGATATTTCATGGGAGTTCACAGAAAATAGAACTTTTAGTCAATGACTAAAACTAGTGTACTTTGGATAATGCTTAATATGGCACCACATAAAAGAAACTGTTTACTAAATGCTTTTCATTGGTTATGATACAGTCTAGTTATTGTATGTGACTTCAGTGGGAAAGAGAAGAAACAAATAGATGAATCGTTTTCTCATTTTTTAGACAGCATTTTCATTATATCTAAATGGGGCTGCACATACTGTGTTAAGCTGAAGGCTATACTGTGTGTGTATGTGTATACGTATATGTATGTGTGTAAATATATATATTTAACATATGTATTTAATAGACTACAACTATTTTCAAAGAATGTAAGCTTAAAAAGAAGAAACAAAGGTAGAAAATGAATTGTTTGTGCTTCTCTGAGAAATGTACGGGAGCTCAATGTGATCAGAGAATTGCAACTCAGTGATGAAACTGTCAATAAACAAAAAGCATTTGAGTATTCCAATTAGTTTTTGGACTTAAATTTAGTTCCCCGTATATGGGGAACTAATCAGCTTTTGTATGTCCAAAAACAACAACTCTAAACCAGGTGTTGGGGGTATGAACTTTTCACAATGTCAATACTCAGATGTACAAATATTTGACTTCCTCTAAATTTCTATAATAAGTGACTTTAGCTTTTGAATCTTTGTTTCAACTTGGTGGCATAAATTTTAATTTTGCCTATTTGAAGTACAACTCAGTCACTTCTGGAGTTAAAATCAGTATGTTTTGAGTAAACGGTCAATTCAAGATTCTTCTCTGTTCCCACTTCCATCCAGGAGAGTTGTAAGTGCCAGGAAGGCTAATGCATTGTCTAGAGAAGTGAATTTAATAGCTTAAATATGTTGCCCTATTATTCACAAGGCACTTCTGGGTCACCTTTACTATAAACCTGGAGAATATTTTTTAAACAAAGTTAGGGCACGATCCATAAAAGTTTTACAACTCACTTAAAACCATAGAAGAGCTGTATATTTCATGATGAAGATTTAAACTCCGGTTATTTAGCAGGGTCTTGGGAGGTAGGAATTGCTGTGTCAACTAATGTTGTGTTCTATATTTCATTACTGCCTTTATGCTTTTTTAAATACCTCAAGAATAAAGTTTATTTAAAATGTCACACTTTGCCAGCAGCACATTATATCCATAGAATATACTGTTACCATTGCATTACTCTTATTTATTACCGTAGATTACTTATGGACCCTCTGCCATAATATCTTGGCTTATTAACATACTGCATACTAAAAAGTGTAATGAATGGCCCCATAATGAGCGGTTACAGAGTCTAGTCACTCATTCTTCCTTGGCTCTCTCTTTTGTGCAGAGGGAAAAATTGAAGAGGATTGGACTTATGCCTGAAACATGAACCATCTGATTCAGCTTGTAAGGTGAGGAGAGAAGGGGACTTCATTATTGAGAAATTCTTGGTCTTCCTCCAGGGTTAGAGACAAAGGCTAGCAATCATCAAGGTTGCCTGAGCTAATCTCAAGTTCAAATTCCACAGGAAGAGGAGACGGGCTTGGGGAATCAACACCTAGACCCACGGCATTTGTTTATCCAACTCAGTTTAAAAAAAAAATGGCAGAAGCACACCAACAGTGTAGAACACCACAGCACTATCTAGTTCACAAAAATTTTTTTTCTAACATAAATCGCCCATCAACTTCTGTACAAGGTAAAGCCTTTAAGAGACAACTTGATCCCCTCAAGATACTCAATAAATACCAAGGACACTAAAAAAGGGTCTTCATGGAAAGGACTGATAAAAATCTTCTTTCAACCGACATTTTAAAAAAAGGAATCTTTTAAAAAAAGTTTGTTAGTTTTTTTTTTAATGACCATAATCAAGGTGAGTTAAATGATGCTCAGAAGATTTCTTATGGGATAGAAATGCAGGTAATTCTGTTATCTATACTGTTGCTAGACCAAGTTTTCTGCCTCCTACAAGTCAACGTGGCTAGCATTCTGAAAAACTCTATCACCATAGAACCTAAGGATTCTTTTGGAACATAAGCATTATTTTCAAAAGAATTTGGGACCCAAAAGTTACTTGGAAACCAAATTTCCCTAGGAACCTCAAAGGTTTGGCTGTTTTGCTGTGTTGGACTGGGAGATGTGGAGGAATTTGGTGTGACTCTTTCTAGGGGGCTGCTTTTGTGTTTTTGATAATAGTGAACAACTGTATCCATCAGTAGCAAATTATACAAGGCACATGCCTTATGTTTCATTGCTTAGTTTTATGCTGTGCAGCAGCAATTTGCTAAGCACAGTCCTCATGAAATAAAGCTGTGCAGCAAAGGGAGCATATATTATCAGAAACACATTTCTTTTCTGACTTAAGGGAAAAAAAGTCCAAATTAACGTACTTTTAATAAGAGATGGAGTGCCGTTGGAAAACTGTTAAGAAAACTGTGGCTTTAGCTTGGATTCTGGGAAGCTCATAACAAAATTGTACCACCTTCCAGCTCAGTACTGCAGCAAGGCCCATTCAGCAGAGCCCGCCACTGCTTCATTGACTCAGGGGAGTATTGCTAGATGGGATTGTTCTACAAGAAGCAATCATCCATTGATGGGCTCCCCTGCTTAACTTTCCTAATTGATTCCACCAGACCCTCCTAGTAGACTAGTCGCACCCCCACCCCAGCCCAACTGTAGCCTGCTCCTCATGATGGCAAAGTCTTCAGAGACCACTTGCCAGTTCGAAGCTGGGCCTCAGAGCTGCAGTTCAGGCTTGTCAAGCAGATGTGTGGTAAAGGCTGCAGCCAAGTGCACAGCACATTTTCCTATGCGGAAAAACTGTGTTAGAGACAGAACATTACTTAACAGTAGGTGGGCAGTTCATTCCTAAACAGCTCAGTTCTTCCCCATCAGGGACCTAGCAAAAACACGCTTCTGCCAGCTCTGGGAGTAAGAGGCAGCTCTTGGAACTGTTAGGAGCAGACAGTGGCTACGGAAGACAGTCTCTTGGGAAGCCCCTGTCTGTGATTTTCCTACGTAAACAACATGAAACTAGACCCCTGGGCTTATCTCTCTTACAAACAAGCAGTACAAAACTTTCTTCATATGCATGTGCTAGTTTGCTGTTCTCCCTGTAGGTTTTACTGCTCTGCAAAGGTGCTTTTTCTCCAGATATGTAAAGATGCCTGGAAGACTGATAGGTAAGCACACTTCTCCTTCTCAGGAAAAAGAAGTGCTGATACTACTGAGTGCCTGTTGCCATCCAGGGACTCTGCACCCATTATCTCTTCTCTTCCTCACCAAATACATTTATTCCAAGTGAGTTGCCCAAAATCCACTGCTGGCACCCAACCTGAGGTTATGCTTCTGTTTTCATTCTACCAGAATGGGAGACAGAGAGTCACAAACGGTGTGCTGTCTTCTCACCTTACTAACCACCTCTGCCTCAGGCCTTTCCACATCTGGGACTAAATGTCTGATCCTTGTCAGCCGGACCCACCCCTAACATCTGTGGGGCCTAGGGAAGAGGGCAACCAGAGGCCCATGTACCATATGTCTAAATATTTAAAAGTTATAATGTGCATCTAAATACGGGCACCTCATGCCTGCATCAGATATGTGCACCAAGATTTATGTATAAGAATTAGTTAAAATAGCATAAATTAGAAACAATTTAAATATTCAACAATGGGGCATTTTGATTAGTTATAGTATCCAGCCATATAATAGAATAACTATGGGCCATTAAAAATTGTTAATAATAGGTGCTGGCCCAATGGCATAGTGGTTAAGTTCTCATGGTCTGCTTTGGCTGCCCGGGGTTCACTAGTTTGGATCCTGGGCGTGGACCTACTCACCACTCATCAAGCCTCGCTGAGGTGGCGTCCCACATAAAAGAGCTACAACTCTACGACTATGATACACAACTATGTACTGGGGCTTTGGGGAAAAGAAAAAAGAAAAAGAGGAAGATTGGCAACAGATGTTAGCACAGGGCCAATCTTCCTCAAAAACAAAATTGTTAATAATATAGAAAAATGTGAAGTATTGTTGAGTGAATACGCATTATTAAAGTGTCTTTGTAGTTACTCTTTTGTTTAAAGTATATGTATACATAAAAAGAAAAATAGCCAACAAAATTGTAATAGTTACTATCTCTGTGTAGTTAGCTTATTAGGAATTAGATTTATTTTCTTCTATGTATTTTTAGGATTTCTTAAAAATGTTATAATGAGGGAAAAATGGAATAAATTTATAATAACAATATTCATATGCTTTAATCTAATAATCCTTTTTTCAAGAATCTCTTTTAAGGAAAATCAAAGATGTGGTTAGAGATCACAAGGGAATTCATCACAATGTTATTTATAATAATAAAAATTATAAATAACTAAAATTCCAAGAACAGGGTAATAGTTACATAGTTAGGGAAAAAATACAAAGAAATATTATAAAGACTCAAAATCATATTTTCAAAATCTAAGAAAACAAAATGCTCAAAACAAAATGTTATAGAGAAAAACAAAAGTGAACTTAAATTATTTTAGCAACCTAAGTTGCTTTAGTATTTAAATAAAATCCAAACAATGCAATGGGGAAAAAATTTCCTTTTGATTGTGTGCATCTTTCAAATATCTTAAAAGGAGAAAAAACTCAATAATATTATTGAACCTTTGCAACTTCCTCATGTTTGTTATTTTTTATTATTCTCTCTATGTGGCAGGGAATACAGGGGTGCTTGGGAAAGTAGGTGCAACACCAAAGCCAGAACTGAGGAGGAGAAAATACCCAAAGGTTAAAGAGGGTATTTACTGAGTCAAATAGAGAAAAAAATAGGATTCTTGGTTTACACTCAAACAAAGAAAGAAGAACATACATGGCCATAGCAAGGGAGGGGAAAAGGCCCCAAGGTTCAATAAAGGAAGGAAACTTGTGGTTTCTCCAGCTCCAGAAAATAGTAAATGCACGCCATCCACTTACACTTACCCTGGGATCTTCCACTCATCTAGAAAGTCTTTCACTTATCAAGCAAATAGTTATTGGGTGATGTGATAGACAGACAGGAGTGGGAGGGAATCTGTTTTAGGTAGGTGTGTCAAGCTATTCATCTCCTCCTTCTTTAGAGAAACTACTCCTTCTCTTTCTCTCTCTTCAGATGTTCTGTCTTTTCACATGACCCTACATCCATGTCCACAGTGATTGGCTGAATAGTGGCCAACTTACCCAAGCTTAGCCAATCAATGTATCTCATTCCCTGGGGCATTGCAATTGGTCAAAGGGTGGTCATGTGGCCCAAAACAGGTCAGTCAGACTTCTTCTCTGGCTTTTTTCAAAACTTAGCTGGGAAAAGAGAGCTTCTTCCCTCCAGTTAAAGGGCTGTGAAGATGAGAGCCTGGAGGCTGCAAAGAGCCAGATAAGAAGCGGAGGCGAAAAGGAGGCAACAAGCAAAGGTACGCAGAGACACAGGATGAAGAGTCCTACTGGCATTCAAATCCCTCTTTCAGACCTCCCTGATTGACCATTTCCTGTGTCCCTCTGGGTGTTTGGTTACATGGGCCATTATCTTCCTGTTCTTCTGAAGCTAGATCCAGTTGTGTTTCTGCCATGTGAAACCAAAGAGTCCTCCCCAATACAGGCAGCTGGCATTGCAAGGCTCTGTGTTAAGTGGTAAGGACACAGAGACTGATAAGAAAGCCTGCCAGGTCTAGTGAAGAAGACAGGTGCAAGGTCAAATGCTTTAGCAGGATAATGAGGGAGCTGATGGTGCCCCCACTGGAGGGACTTTATTGCACTCCCTCTAAGCTTATAACACAACTCTCCCTTTATTCAACATTAATTTAACCAGTATTTACTGAATACCTACCAGTCTCCTCTCCAGTCCGTGGCCTTGTCAGTAGAACTGATGCATTCTCATTCTTCTTTGCTGATTTATTTCATCCAGCCTACAGGGAAAATTAAGAGAGAGGATCTCACTTATGCCCATAACTGTGAAAATGCAACATATCTTTAGTGGAAAGTCTACAAATAACCACAAGATGGGGCTGTCATGCAATGAAAGTAAAATTTTATGGGGCACAAGGAGAGGATGCAATATTCTCCAACATCCAGAACAGGATATTTAAATTTTTCCTCGCTAAAAAATTAGAAAAAAACATTTTATGAGTGGATATGCCTCTAAACTTTTTATAAAATCAAAGCACTGCTTATAACAAATTTAGAGAATATTCCTTTTAAAAACCTAGTGATTCCTTTTTGGGAAAAAAAAATATGATTATTACATTAGATATTTTCCCATCGGAGATTCTGCCCACATTGAGGTTGCTTGTCTTTCTTCCTGGTCCTTTTGTCTTCATTCCTCTGTCCCTTTCAGTGAAAGACCATAATATAAAACGGAAATGCATTGATTTATTTTTTCTCTTACAGACTCCTATGTCCTCTGTATTCAATTTCAAAAACAAATGAATGGCATTTGACATTTTCTATCAACGTGCTCTTGTTTCCTGGTCTCTTCCACCTCAATCTAAATTAAATCGCTTTGACCTCACTCCTTGTCCCTTCAGGTTTACAGTTTGAAGATATAGACTACTCTTGATTAATAACGGTAACATAAGGTCGCCACTCTTTCAGAAAATCCAAAAGAGATACAAGGAGGGAGAGCCCCAAGGACGCCTTTGCCTTCTCAGAGACCACCCTGCTTAATGGGGCAAAGTGACCACAGGGGGCAGCCAGCTGGAGAGTCCCAATCCACCCATGAGATGCACGAAGCAGGGAGTCCCCGGATGGAAGCAAGGGCAGCCGCAGACTGGAGGATCCCTCCTCCTTCTACAGTGCGATGAGTCTGTGCTGCAGTGACTCAAAACTTGGAGCGTCCTGTTGAGAAATGGAAAACCTAAAAATAGGCCTGCAGAAAGTACTTTGACCTTGGCTTGAAAGGCAGCCCAGCGCTACGACAAGAAAGACATTTTCCATGAAGATTATATTCTTAAAAGCCATGTTTCATCTGCATTGCAGACTCGCAGTAAAACCACACAGAAAATGCGCATCTTGGCTTTCTTTCAACGGTAAAATCATTATGTTTGGCTCTGGCTATACTGGACATTACATGTCCGTGGAAGGGTTTCTTTCCAAAATTCCTCGCACAAAATGTTAGAGGTTATAAACTGGATTAATAGTGACATTTAAGCAAATCTGCTATTACTGTATGTATCCAATACTTAATGATTTTTGGACAGAATTCAAAGACAAGGCAGGAAGAAATGTTGCCTTCAAGTCGTACAGAATATGCACGCTTCAGAATTAACTTCAATAAACTAATAACTTCTCCTGAAGAAATCTATCCAGAGTACCAAGAGAATGTATTTTTTAAGTTTTAGTAATTAAATCCAAAACTAGAGGGTACTGTCCTATAATTTCTTGTGTATGTTAGAGTTATAATATTCAAAAATTTCAATATCAAAGAACTTCAGGGGACCTTCATACGTATTCCATATATATTTCAAGGATAACTCTTAAACCGTGATTTTAAAAAAGCTATTAAACAGGGAAGAAAACTCACTTTTATATACTTAGGGAACTTTCTAAGGAACAGCTGCCACCAATTAAACAACACATACCTTAAAGACTCTTGGGGCTTCAGTGTTCCTTCAGTGGACTGAAAAATCTGGAAAAATGGACTTCATTAGCTACTACAAAATCATTGAAAGGATATTTGAAATGGTGTTTAATACCTGCTAAGACAGGAATAATCAGTGGTTTAAAGTTTCACTGTAAAGATTGGTAAATAATACTGATTACAGGTCTTATTCAAACAGAAAATAATGAATACGTGATGAAAGGAGAATAATGCTCCAAATTGTTCTTAATCTTGGAATTGTGCCTATTGATTGGCCAAGGAATAATGGTGCTAATCTTATGGTAGGAAAGCCAAATGCTTGAGAAAGTCATTAACTTGGGGGGAACAGGATACCCATTTCATTGTACTAGCACAGTATTTTATTGAGTAAAGCCTTACAAACAATTGTGCAGTTATAGGAAAAATTCTACTGTTAACCCAAGTCAAATAACATTCCTCTCCATTCCTGTGTAACTTGTAAAAGCTATTTAGGTATTCTTTATAACTCATCAAACATTTACTGAACAGCTACTGTATGCCTCGCACACAACAGGATCAAACAAGTTATCTAGCATTCCAAGAGATAATTACTAATCTCATGTTGGCTTATTTCTAAAAGCTGAAGAAGTAATGACCTTCTCAAACCACTAAATTTACCCTTTAGACCAGCATTCCTGAAACACTCTAGAAAAGTTTCATGAACAAACATATTTGTAAGCAAGAAATCATATTAAAAAGACACAAAGTCTTTTTAAAAATCATGATTTCTCATCGCTAGGAAAAGCCTCAAAGGATTTAGAATTTGAAATATCCTTACTTCCCCTTAACTTTTCTTGAGGACCCATGGATCCAATTACAAGTTAAATTTACTGTCATTTTAATTCATTTTTGAGACCTTAAATGTATTCTTAGATCCTGATCTTGACAATTGATCACTCTTATTTTAATTTAAATGGTAACACATAAGCATCTGATTAATGAAAATAGAAGTGTAGGAAAAAGTCACGCTCCTGTTAGCAAATGTGTGTTGACCAAGAAACTAGTGAGTGTTAAGGCCTGCCAGGTGGGGGCAGCAGAGAGCACTTTGCAAAGACTGGTTAGCTGAGGACCTCGAGACCGGGTGGTTGCCAGGGAACCCTCAGGGCGCCAGGAAACTGGGCAAAATCAATCTGTTGTGGGGAAGTTAGCTGAATAGAGAGGCTGGTCACAGGAAGCATGAGCCAGGAGAAACAAGGAAAGGGAACAAGAAAGGGCTGAATGCAAAGAGGAACGAGCTGGGGCTTTGAAGTTGCAAAAACCTGACTTCTGACACTTACCAACTGGTCACCTCAGGCAAAGGACTTAATCTCCCGGGCTTGGTGCTTTTCGTCTGTAAAATGAGTATAATGATATTATATCACCACCTCACAGAATTATTACAAGGTTGTAAGATGATGCATGGAAAATGCTTGGCACATTGCCTACCAATATACAGAAAGGGCTTAACAAATGTTGTGGGCTATTATTATCACTTACTGCTGCTGCTGCCAGAGAGGCTGGCAAAGTGGAGCTGAGTGCCAGCCTCAGAGAAGGAAATGAATGAGTACCTGACAGAGGTCCAAGTCAGGGGGTGAAGGAAGCAAGGCGAAGGGAGCCAGGATGGTATCCTAACTGAGCTGAGCTGATGGTTTTTTGGACACTAAAATCTTGTACACTTAAATCATCCCTGTAGGGACATCCACCTATCCCCACCCTATCTTCGAGATACCTTTTGAATCCAGTCATTTGTAGTAGCTACTCTGGAAAGGAAATCTGGTGTCACTTCTGATCAAAACCCAGTTATCTTACAAATGCGTTTATTAAATAAGAACAGGAATGAGAGGCTCATTGCATAGAACGCCTCCCAGAGGTATACTGGTAGGGTATCCACTGGAGATCGTTTTTTAGCTTGTTTACAAAAACAACTGATTCTTGGAAGTTGCTTTTCTTTTTTATGTATGTGAATGGACCCTTTATTTGCAAAAATGTGAAGCAATAACCTCTCTCTTTTTCTTGGAGAAGATGGCAAGGTTTCTATACATCTGAGTACAGACGTTGCGGTCTGTGAGATGTGCAGTGTTCTGCTTCGTAGTGGAAATTATAGACATTTTTAACTGGACTGTGCTCTTGAAGAATTCAAGAGATCTTTTTCTGGCTATAAAGTGTTTGTAAACTGGACTATCCCCGCACCCGCTGTACTTGAAGACTGAAGAGCCCAGAATTTGGGGAATATATTTTGGGGCATTTTGCTGATTGCCTTGGCTGGGGAGTGTAGCTGAGGTCATCCCCCATGTGGGGGATGATTTTTTCCATCCTTAATCATCCTAAGGTGGAAGATGAACATGTCTCAGAATAGAAGAGGAGAGAAAACGATTTGCTCTAAGGGGACTACTGGGTTAGGCATGGGACTGAGGCTTGCAGAGGCCTGGACATTTTGCAGGTGGGATTTGAGCTGGTTCTGGCCATGCAGAGGCCTCCAGGAGCTAGGCTGAGACCCCGAGGTTTGTTTGGGGCCAGCTGTAAGCCCAAGAGTGCCCACTGGTCTCTGTAGTGTCAAGCACTCAGCTTGAGATTCCTTTAGCACTGAGAGTTTTTATTAAATGCAATAGGTTTTTCCCATTTTTAATAAATGGCACAGCCATACAAATTTACCCAAACATTCAAACTGAAAACTTCCCTATTCTTTCCCACTCCTACCCTGAATCCATCTGCAAGTACTATGGCTTCTGCCTCCAAATAGGCTAAATTTCAAGCCCATGCTGTTTCCCTTTTGTCTCTACGGCTCCAGTCCAGCCTCCACGGTTTTCCACCTGGGTTATAACAGAGCCCCACTCAGCCCGCTTCTTCTCTTGACTGGTCCACCTCATTCTTTACAGAGCAACCTGAGGATTCTTTTTAAAATACAAACGAAGTCAAGTCATTCCCTTCTTAAAACCTTTCAGGTTTTCAGTGTTCTCAGGATAAAGACCCAAATATTCAGCATATTCTGCAAGGCCAAGTCTGGACTTGGCGTGCTTTGGAGAGTTTAATGCAAGCCCTGGCCCCTGGGAAGAGCTGCCTGGAAAACCCAATTATAGGTCAGTGCAAAGTGACCATTCAAAGTGTGGACTTCTGGGTAAGTGACAAGTGACCATGACAGATTTCTTGAGATTCCTTCTGGAAGGCAACTCAATAGAAGAATGGAATTCTTAGTCCTGTAAGTGGGAGATGTGGTAGGACAGTAAAGGAATGTGATTAATTAAGTAGGACAGGTTAGTAAAGTCTGGGGATATATCGGTGACACACCCAACCTGGGGAAGGAAACAACTTCACTGTAAATCAAACAACCCTCCTTATCTTAGTTGCAAAAACAAGAACCAAAAATTGTACAACTTACATATAATAAAGGCTTCTGTTTATCAAGTACCTGCTAAGGGGCTGGCTTTATGCCAAGCATTTAACATATTTGATTACAACCTTATAAGATAATTATTATCTCCACTTTTGATATATGAAAACTGAGGCTCAAAAGGTTACTAAAAGTCAAATGATTAATAAGGCACAAAGTTTTAAAAATTACCAAATCACCTTTCTTCATGAAGGACAGGGACTGATCTAAAAACACCAACTGATGTGTCATATATAAGACATCTGATATAGACAGTGTCTGCTCAGAGCCCTGCTTAAACAAGGATTGATCCATAGACTGAAGAAATGAATGAAGAAGTGAATTTTGACAGCTGCTTTAATTACCCCATGCTTTTGATTTAGAGCTTTACAAAATAGGAAAAATTAGTGTGAATATCCATGTGTCCATAGATTTGGCGTTAGGTATGTTTTTCTTATTCTCTCCACTAAAGAACTGCTATTAAAATACAGCTATGCCTTGTTCCACCAGAGGTTTCCATTAGCAACAAGAATTAATTAAATTATGAGTCATCAGCAGATGACATACTGAGGCAGATTATCTCCCCACGATTATTGTTTTTCTGTTTTTCTAATTATAAAAGTAATATAGTAAAGAACACAAGCTGGATTTATTAATTTAAAAAAACAAAGTATGTACTATTATGAAAAGATTTTTAAAATATATTTTTAGTGGGAAAAAAAACAAGATGCAGAATAATGTTCATGATATGCTTGTATCCCAGGGGATAATAATAACAATCGTTATTGAGAGCTCACCAGGTGCCGGGCACTGTATTATACCTGCTACGTGAATTATCTCATTTAATTCTTTTCCTGACCTCATGTTGTTAGTACTGTACTTCCATTTTAAATAGTACTATTACCCCATGTTAACAGTTATTTTGGTCTTTATTTTGAAACAATTGCAAAGTTAGAGAAAGGTTGCAACATACAAAGTACACACAAACACATATATGTACGTTTTACATCTCTATTTCTATTTCTCTGTATACTGCAAATCATGAGATCATACTAGTATCTATCATTCAATTCTTATATCACAGAGTTTTAGCCTTCTCTCTTTTTATGTGTATATTTCTCTTGTCCAATAACGAGAAGCCTGACTCCAATTGTCCTCGATATATTTCCTATTGCATCAGTCCCCCTGCATATAACCAATCTCCTGTTGCCTCCACTGTCCCCATCCTTGGCGGGGGTGTCTTTCTCATTCTACCAGTCTCCAATGCTCCACATTAGCCCCTCCTGCACCCACTCTCCACCTTCCCCCATCATAGAACAATTTCCTCCCCCCGCTCAGGCTCCAACACCCCATGGCAGCACAGAGCACAAAGACCCTCCTTCCTCTGTGCCAGGCTCTCCCTACTCCACTTGAGATGTGACACTCCGCCCCCCATCTCGCCCTAACATGGCAGGGACAGCTCCCTTGCCCATTCAGGGATAGCCATAAAAAAACATCTCTGGGGGTCCAAAGTTTTGAAACTGGGTCAAACCTAATACGTTAGCGTCTTCAGTCACTAATTCTTGAAAAGACCAGAAGCAGAAATGGTCATTTAGCCACTCATTTGCGTGAGAATGAAACATGAAAGGTGAAAGAAGGAAAAAAAAAAAAGGAAAGGAAAAAGAAAAAATAATTGCACCAGTGAGGAAAATATTTCATGAGCTGAATCCCAAGCAGCAAAGTCACCACTGATGTCACAACAGTGTTGCCAGCTAATAATGGGCTGCTTCTTAACTGTCGGGAAATGCAAACAGCACAACATTAAAATGGTTCTATTTTTTCCATCCTTACAATAGCAACACAGCAACAGAGTGCTGGTCTCTGAAAGACAAAGGCTGTGAAAATAAATATGCACTTAAGCCAGGGGGCATTTGAGTTGTGAGTTTTCCTTTGAGATATTAGGTAATATATCCAAAATACTCAAACCACCACTGGGACCATCTCTTGAGATACCAGCCTGGAAATCACCCACCAATCTCAAATGGCTCAGCAAAGCTCTTGCTCGGTGCAGGCTTGCCAGACAGCCGGGCTTTCTCTTTTCCTCACTTGCCTTGGCTGAGTTGCTTCTGAGGTGTTTCAGAAAGCAAAATGCCGGATTCAAAATAAAGAGCAGACTTCTGGGCCAGGCCTGCATTTTCCTCTAACCGCGTTAATCCTCAGCTGCTTGGCCTCTGGTTCATCTGCCACAGCCAAAGCTGGACTGAGGCCTGCTCTTTCCCTCTAATTGCAGGATTGCCTGTGGTTGAAAGTATATCTTTAGTACTTCTTACTTTCCATTTTGCTACCACTTCACCCATTTCCTTGACTTCACTGTTATCTGTATATTTTCCAGCAACTTGGTTCTACCTCATCTCCCTCTTTTACTGTTACTATTATTAATTTTTATTCCCCTTGCTCTATACCTGTGGCTTCCTCTCTAAAGACTTTGAAAAATGAGGTGAACTTTATGTCTGTGGAAGATGCTGAGAGGCGGATCTTTAAAGCCATCCCCAGTCTTCTCCTCCCACATGAGTCCACATGAGGTAACAGCTCTCCTTTCTTGATGCAAATTCTCTCTAGTCAACCAGTAAAGCTACTCCTTTCAAGATATGGCTTGATTTAGTTCACAAAAAAGAAGAACAAAACTTCCTGTTATGAGGCTGCATATTTCCAGACATTTGCAACTGGCATTTTGCTTTCTTTTTTTTTTTTTTTTGCTAAGGAAGATTGCCCCTGAGCTAACATCCGTGCCCATCTTCCTCTACTTTAAATGATACGCTACCACAACATGGCCTGACAAGCGGTGCATCAGTGCGCGCCCAGGATCCAAACCTATGAACCCCGGGCTGCCAAAGTGGAGCGCACGCACTTAACCACTTGTGCCACCAGGCCGACCCCCTGCATTTTGCTTTCTTAAATACCAGACTGTGGCTAGCAATCTGTGTCCCCATTCCTGGTTGTAGAAGTTCAGAGTTCCCTACCTCTGGACCACGGAAATCCTGAGCATACAAAGGCCTTGTGAACATGACCAGGAATAGGTTGTTCTGAGAATAGGGATGGAACCATGAATCCAAAGGGACCAGGAGACTAACCAATAGGATCAAGGTAGTTGTAATACACACACCCAGGGAAAAGCATCCAAACTAAGTCCATGATCTAGGAGATGCTGGATGTTTCCTGTTTGTTCCTCTAGTCTACTCTTTTCCTTTTGCCACCCTTCTCTGTGCCCCAGGCAGGAGGCTGGCCTATTGGACTGTAACATCAGGTTCCTTTGTCCTGTGGCTTTCTGTTGGATTCAGCTAGTGGGGAGTGCTGGAGATCAGGAAGAGGTAAAGGTCAGGATATTTATTCACTGGCTCCTTCTCCATGGGGTCACTACAGGCTGGCTGAATATCCCAGCTCTGTCAGATGCCCCCTCTCTCTGATACTAGTCACTCTTCTGTCCTTTGTCCCTTCAGGCCTTGGAGAACAGCAGTAGCTTTCTACTAGCCCAGGGTCCTGCACTACCCCTCGTGATTTCCCTCTAACCTGCCAACATCTTTGCTAATAATCCCTTTATTAAACTCTCTTCAAATTACCCAATTTGAACAGACCATCTGTTTCCTGCTGCTAATTTGATGCTTACACAAGATCTCTGCTTAAGCAAGGCAGAAACAGGTATATTTGAGAAATTGCAGTGGGAAATGATCAGGAACCCAGTTACTTGGAAACTGAGGCCCATAGGTAGGAATTTAAGCCACTCTTGACACAGAGAGACAAAGGAAAAACTTCTTTACTGAGGATTAGTGATACAGAGAAGTGAATAAATTTACTGACACCTGGAGTTACCAAGCTCGGACTATTGATAATAACATAAGATTTACCCTGCCTTTATTATAGGCCAGGCACTGTGCTAAATTATCACATTTTAGATTATTTTAAAGATGAGGAAACTGGGTACATTGATCACCGATGTTTGTCTACCCAAAATCCCTCCCTCAACATCTTCCAGTATCAGAACTGTTCTTTCCTGCAAGGAACTCATTTTACATGTGTTAAGTAGGGTTAACTCTGGCCTTGCCAGTCGGAACGATCTGCCTTGCATAGACAATATTTGGTTCAGTGATGGATATGTAACCCAAACGGGCCAATAAGTCTTCCTTAAGATTTTATATGTAGACTTAGGGAAACAACTAGAAGAATGATGATGTAAGCTGCCACTGTTTGGGGTCACCTGTCCCTCTGCCTGGAGGAAGCCATCTCCAGTAAGAAATCATACAATATCATGCAAAGAGAACCAGAGACAAGAGACAGATGGACAAACAGCAAGAGCAAAACACAAGAGAGATGATCTCATTTGCTTCTGCATCCACTGTCTTCACGTAGGTTCTATCCCTGGATTTTTCTTGTGAGCCAACAAATATTCTTTCTAGGTTTTACTTAATCTAAGTTGGGTTTCTGTTATTTATCATCAAAAATATCCTGTAAATATCTTGAAGCTTACTTAGAGATTCTTCAGCTGAGTAGTGATCAACACGCGTGTGTGAGGAAACCACCCAAGTTTGGGGAAAGACACTCAAATGGAGCAGGGGAACAATCCTCAGACTTATGTAGATCCAGAAAGAGTAGATCCCACAAGCCAGAATGAAAGACCTTGTACTACACAGGACACCAGGTAGAGTACTCAGAAATATATTACATGAGTACTAGAGAAGAAACATCAGTCCTAGACTTTGTTAGTCCTGCATAACAAACCTTAAAAGCAAGCCTCAAAAGGATCAAACTATTTCCAAGTAAATTAACTATATCCTAGAACAAAGCTCAAGAATATGTAAAGAAATATAAGAATATGCAGCATCTAAAAATGTAAAGTTCACGATTGTTGGCATCCAATCAAAAATGACCAGGCATGCAAAGAAGTAAGAA